AAGTTGTACTACGGTAATATTCAAGCAAAAGTCCAGGATTTAAACAAAAATACCCTTGCAGTGTCCACTTGCCGCTGTTCGAAAGCTGCAACTCCTCAAAATCTCCAGCTACCTCACTTCCGGTGCTCAGAAAGACTGGAACTCTGTACAGTTGCGGTGCGCATGCGCGCACGGCGTTTTCAGAATACTCATAGAGTTTGCCACCTGCTGAATATTGTTAACATGCAGCTGTACAGAAGCTCCGTCAGTCTTTGTGTTTTGCAGTCTAACGCCGTCTGGTCGAAATCTCCAATTTGCAAGTACCCGGCAGTGAGGTAGTTGGAGATTTCGACGAGTTGGAGCTTTCGATAGAACACCGCCCCCTTCCCATTCCGCACAATGCAAGGGTTTAAATGCATGCTAAGTCTAGGGGTCTTCTATGAGGATCCTAGGTGACATAAGGTGTCTGAATGACTCCTGATGTCTCCATAACGAAGACTTAATGTTTACAAAAATAAAAAAAAACATATACAAAACAAAATATTTTAAAGTCTCCCACGCACATACACAAACACGTGTCGGTGCGCTTACGAGAAAAAACAAAAACTGTGCTACACATGTTACATATCACTGCAAACGTCGGAGTGAGCGCAATAATTTTAGGCCCATCAATCACTGGTAACACTAAACTGATGAGCGGGAAAAGCTTTTAAAGCATCTGGGAGCTGGTGATCACTGCCATTTGACATTGCACGCCTGCCAGAACATTAACATTGCAGTGCACAGAACATAACCTAATGGCAATTAAGATTTACGACTAGGTCACATGACTTTTGTCAATGCAATGAAACGCATATCAATAGGACCTGCTGTGCCCCAAGGAGCAAAAGGCAGGGCAAAGGCAATCTCACAGTGGTTGTCCGCGCCCCACCATTGAAATAAGTTGGAATGTGCAGAGTTGTGTTTGACACGCATTTACAACACCTGTTCATCCGCACATAGTCCCCCTTCCTCCCAGGCATGCATTCTCACACAGCCATGCAACCTGGTCACCCTCCCTGTTGCAGTATTCCTGCCTGTCTGAGCTCCAATGTTGGAAGGATATCATGGCACCCTCAACTTGACTGTTACTGGTGGTTCACTGCTCAGGCCCAAGCATTGTCACAAAGGGGAGGTCATATTCTACCCCATTCCCAGGAGCCTTGTTAGTGAGGGCTCTGGCTGGCAGTAAAGAGGGGGCAGCGAGGAAGCTTGGCTGGGGGGCAAGTACACTTGCCTGGCGGGGAGGGGTGAGCTATGTGTAGACACCATCACTCTGCCCTGAATGGTCAAAGTATAGACATACAACTGAGCGCCAAACCACAAAGTGAAAGAGTCCAAAGTGCCTTACTTAGTAATAACTTCATATCAAAAACTGCCAACAAGTTTTGTCACCCCCAAAACTCCCCCTTCATCAGGGCTCAGAAGAGTGGAATAAGGACTTGAATGGACTTAAAGGAAACTTGAAGCAAATGGATCTATATTTGATCTAGTGCAAAACAAACTATTTAGCAGCAACTACTGCTTTCTATTCTTCCCAGCCCTCATAAAGGGAACATTTTATTTATATCATCCGAAATGCTTGGGCTGTCGGTATTATGAACAATTAAAGGCACTTTTTCACTTTGCGGTTTGGTGCCCTTATGTATCGCTATACGTTGAGTAGCTTCCAGGTACCCATTGAGGGAGGCCACTGTGCTGCCTAACCAGAGCCAGTGAGCCCATTTGAACATTTTCTTGCCTTTTGAATCATTGAAGAATTAAAATCTCAGTGCCTCTTCAATGTGCATTCCCGCTGAATGGGCAAAGTGACGGCTTCTCTTTTAAGGTGGTGTAAATTCTTGACAAGTGGGAAGCCGTTCTAAATGGGCAAAATCTCTCCTATGAAATGCGTTTCTCTCTGGATTTTTTCCCCATTTTTATCAAAATATGTTTGAGGTGAGTGATGAGCAGCATTGTAAATTGGCAGAACTGCTGAAATCCATATTTCCCTTGGAAGAAAAAAAAAAAGGCACTCGATTGACCTTTTTTTTTTTGTATGAATAGTCCCCCTAAATTGATGAAAGAAGATTTGTGATTGGTTGCGGTGGGTGGCAGCACGCACGTTGCTTTGTGAGCTGTTATTAAATATACCGGTGTTCCCTGTTGCTAAATTCTGTTATTAAACATACCCAGCTGCCCGAGTGCTCAATCATCATATGACTGTCCCGGCAATAAAAGGTGCTTCTCCACAAAGAGAACGATCCAAACAAGATCAATATTTGTCTACAGAAGGAAGCTACCTAGTGACTGACACAATATCAGAGGATTTACCTGGATGCGTTTCTTCCCTTGTGACCCAAATACCTACTTTCCGTATTATCAACCACTCGGCTTGGGGTTTCATAACCTGAATTTTAAGGCAGTCTATCGATCTCCCTACTGCTTGGTCTATATTGTCCAGGACAAATGTCCCATTTTGAAATTCACCGATTTTTGTAAACGATTCACATGTTACATCTTCATTGGCTTTGATTTTCTTTCTCCCCAGCAGCACATAACCTGATTTCAAGGTATCTCCAGGATGCTCTGAGCTCCCTGTAATGATGTTGATCTGCTTAATGTTGGTCGAATTCATGAAAGTCATTGTAAAATTGTCATCTGCTTTTACATCGATCCCCCAAAAGAAATCGGGACTGGGGAAGCACACATGATGCGGTGTGTGGTCTTGGTAAGCCCTCATACTGGTGGCGCAAGATGCTAGTGGATGGTCTCCGAAGGCTTCCATGACTTCCATGAAGTCTTTGTCTTTCAAATTATTTTCATTGCCCTGAAATGATGAAAAGTGCCCGATGTGTTGGAAGAGGGATGGTTTGTACCTGATTATCTCATGCTGAGCCTTGGATTTGAAGAAAAGATCTAGAAGCCAGTCACACGGCATCTCATCGTAGAAAATCAGAAGGAACCGGGCTAGTTTGGTCAAATCCTCATTGTGGTAAAGTTTCCCGATGTATCCCAAGTTGGAGAAAGTTATGGTGGTCCACGGAGAGCTGTAATCCCTAACGTACGACTTAATCGAGTTGAAGAAGTTCATGGAGCAGGTCACATCGTCCTCTAACATCAGGTAGAACCGAGACAGATTGGCACAGAAGTTTACCAAGAAGGCGTAGTCCACGTTCTGTTTGGAACGGAATTTGACCCGTTCATCTGGGTCGTTATAGTTCCTCTTCAGGCCCTCCAGGGTGGGATAGGCCTTCTTGTAGCTGCTTATCACCATCAGCTGCCCAGCCGCAACCTCTGAAGGAAAATTCTTTCCAAGGTCTTCTGCCACTTCTGTGTTTATGGAGAATTTTTCGTTGGCCAGGTACACGACCACCACTAACTCGCCCAACTCCTCAGGACTGCTGTGGCTGAAGATTGATTGAAGTGTCGTCACAAGATAGTTTTCCTTGTCTCTCTTAACAGAAGATATGCCAATGGAGAGAAATCCTTTACAAAGAACACACAAAAAAAAAAGTGACATTAGTGATTGTTAAAAAATATGTAAATCCAATAACCTAAAGTTTTTATATTTTTAAAAGAGAACTATGGGGGGGGGTAAGTGTTTTTCCCCATAGTTCTCTTAAGGGTCACGGGAGGACATATACTAGCGTCCTCCCGTGATCCAAAGCTCAGTATATCGCGAGCTACAGCACGGGGTATACTGAGACCGCCGCAGCCGGGATGGATCCCGACACTACTGTCTGCATCCACCCACCTGCGTGAGTGACAGCTGGCTCTGCCTATCTAGATGCAGAGCCAGCTGAACCCGCCCCCTCTCCCATGCGTTCCTTAAGTCAGCGCTGGAGGATCGGGGAGGGGGAATCCCTGCAGGGAGCCGTGAGTGACAGACACCACTCTCGGCAGGGACAGGATCGAGAAGTGAGCGAGCACCGGTATGTGTTCGCTCACTTGCCGATCTATTGAGCCGACCTGTGACAGTTTCATTGTCACAGGTCAGCTCGAACTATGAGGCTAAGTGTAATTCGCTCACCTCATAGTTCTCCTTTAAAATCAACTTTCATTAAAGGGCAAGTCCACTTTCCAGGCGAATTTGGAAAAATGTAATTATCCCCTCCAATCTGGCCTCTTCTCCCAGATTGGCCAGGGGTAATTCTATTTTTCCAGACTCGCCTGTGAAAGTGAACTTGCCCTTTAGGGCTTGTCCACACCAAGTGCGGAGCAGATGCAGAGCAGTTACAGAACACATCAAAACTGCATCCAGTGTATTCCAATGGTATTTTGGGCTCTAGTTCAACACCAGAGCTTTCAGTTCCTGAGCATGTGGAAAAACTGCAGCATGCCCTATTTGTTCTGCTCTGGAACGCACCAAAATGCATTAAAACTGCATGCAAACACCCTGGAACGCACTGAAAGCTAATTTTAGGCTAAAGAAAAGCAGCCCGGAACGTGTCAAAAACGCTGCCAAACACACTGCGCTGCATGTGCAGAAATTCATGCAGATCTGGTCTGCATTTGGTGTGAACTCGCCCATTAAGAAGCTACTATGAATGCAAATCCTCTGCTCTATCCTCCTGTTAGCAAGCTCTCTCTGCTATATAGACAGCTCTATGCAATAGAGCCAAATAGTCTCACATTTCTGCCCTTGCGGCTGTGCAGGGGGATTAAGGCTGGGTTCACACCTAGGCGTACGGAATATGCGCGTTTGCCATGACAAACGCGTGTTTCCGAGGGCTACCTGGCTGTATCCCAATGGATACGCACGGCAAATACGCCCCAAAGAAGCTCCTGTACTTCTTTGGGCGTAGGGCGTTTTGCAGCGCGTTCCTACGCGCTGTAAAACGCCCAGGTGGGAACCATGCCCATAGGCAATCATTGGTTTTCACATGATGAGCGTTTTACAGAGCGTAGGAACGCGCTGTAAAACGACAAAGGTGTGAACCAGGCCTAAAAGAAGCCGATATAATGATAGATTTGGCTTCCGTTACTGCTGATTTGCTAAAATATATTTAATGACATTTTAAGCAGCGCCTATCTGGATTGTTCACATTTCCAGAGAATTCAACTGTAATTTATTAGACGGGAACAATAATAGCGGTGTGGGTAACATGCAGTCATTTTTTTGGGCCTTTGCAACACTGGAAAAAAAATAAAAATGATCTGGAAACTGATTTATTGCTGCGGTCATACAAACCGTTTCCTGTGCATTCGTTTCCAGAAATGAGGCATTGTGTGTCCTGATCTTTTTCCGTTTTGATCTTCTGTATATACTACTTGAAGGATCTGTAAAGTCTTACAGTCTACATGCAGAAATAGCTGCAACATCAACATTGCAAAGGCAAAGATCTTGGCTTCCCTACATCAGAATGCCTCTAAATACATTTCTTTGTTTTAATTGGGGTCACATGACCACTAGGTTCCCCTCTTTCACACGAGCCCCCAGGAATAAGGGCAGAGACTTAAAATTATGCTTGGCAGCTTTCCCCGGCACTGCTAATCTCAGTAGGTTCTTCACTCTATGGAGGCCTGGAGGTGTCCTAATAACTGACATCCCTGGAGACCTAAGCCATGTTCTGAATAGTTAGGGGTGGGCCAGGAGGCGTGGCTTCCTGCTAAAATGTACAGGATGCTGTATTTGGTACACGCAGGACGACGGGGCTGGGCGGTGGGCATTGCGGCTAAACTGACTATGGGACATACAGGCTCACTTTGCATCGGCACGGGATCCTGCAACTTCCACATGGAAGCAAAAAGGCCGTGCCAGCACAGATCTGCTTCCAGTCATGGCCAGACTGCAACAAGAAAGAAGGGTGGCAAGCAGGTCATCGGGTATTCCACTACTTGAATTTAAGAAGAAAATGTGTGAATCTTGGGTGAATACATTTCTAAATAGACCCCTATATGTCAAATTGCTTGTGGACACCTGACCATCACACGTATATGAGCTTTGTTGGACAAAAAAACAATGGCCATTAACATGGAATTTGCCTCCCTTTGTGGCTACAACAGCCTCTACTCCTCTGGGAAGGCTTTCTACAAGATTTTGGTAGGTGTCTCTGGGAATTTGTGCCCATTGTAGGGTCAGATGCTGATGTTGGACGAGAAGAACTGGCTCACGATGGGTGTTCCAATTCATACCAAAGGTGTTCAGTAGAGTTGAGGTCAGGACTCTACGCAGGACACTCTAGTTCCTCCACACAAAGCTGGTCAAACCAGGTCATTATGGAGCTGACCTTGTACACAGGGGACAGTCACGGTGGAACAGAAAAGGCTCTTTACCAAACTGTGACCACAAGCCTGGAAGGGCACAATTGTCTAACATGTCTTTGTATGGTGCAGCATTAACAGAGCCTCCCAGTGGTGTAACTAGTGACCTCAGGGCTCCGATGCAAGAATCCATGAAGGCCCCCCCCCCCCCCCCCCCCCATGTTCCCCCCCCCCTGTCCCCACACTCCCTATCTCCCCCTTCGTGTCCGCAGCAGCTCTATTCGGCACTGGGCAGCAGTTCTGTGTGAGGAGGGGGCGGGGATTACACAGCTCCCACTCATTGGCTGCTGCCCGGCTGGATGATGCTTCACGCTGCGCCCGGAACAAGGTGAGGGGAGCAGCGTGAAGCATGTAGGGCCCAGGACAGGAGGAAGAGGTCCCGGGACTGGTAATCAGCGGTCACCAGGGGCCCCTTCCGCTTGTCCTGGGCCCCCTCCAAGTGGTGGAACTCCAGGGCCCGGCCGCGACCTCTGCGACCCTGGTAGTTCCGCCACTGGCAACACTTGAACTCTGTCATGCAGGGGGTGTCCATAATTTTGACCGTACAGGGCATCTTCAGCAGACTATAGTCTCTAAATTTGAACTTTGCAGTATATCACTTGTAATTCTTCAAAAAATAAAAGCAATGGGTTGGAAAAGTCACTGGTGGAGTTGCAGACAAGATTTGCTTACGTTTTGCGCTTGGAGGAGAGCCCAGTAGATGTTTATATGGGATTGGCATGGCAGCTAGCGCATCTTCTTGCACATCAAACAAGCGGACGTCCTGCCGGGAAGGCTTACTTTCCTGAGAAGACGTAAATAGACAATCATTAGAGAAAACCCTCTTTAATTTTCCTGTGCGGCGTTGTACTCCCAGCTAACAGAAGCGTGTCATGTTTATGTCCGTACAGGCGTCTGTCTCAGGCCAGCCTAGAAGTGACAGCTCTCTGTGTTTTATAGAGTAATATTTCAAGTGTTGGGAATAGCGAGTTGAAGGGTTGGGTCTTTATAGCCTGGAAGGGAAGAAAATGTATCAAGCACTGCATCAGTTAAACAAGGAACATGTCCTGGTTTAGCTGTTAGGCCCTGTGTAGGGGAACTTTTTCCCTTGGGCAGATTGGACAAAGGCTGTAGTTAGGCTTCTATCTTACCGTGTTTCCCTGAAAATAAGACACGGTCTTATATTTTTTTTGGCTCAAAAAAACACACTAGGTCTTAGTTTCGGGGTAGATCTTATTGCAACAATCCAAAATGAATGCAAATCCAAATTAAATCATCCAAAATGGCAAAGTTAAGAATAGGGTGATCAGGGCAATCAGCGGTGCCGTACCTTTCCAAGAGAAATTTTGGTAACCAATCTGCTGGCCAGAATGAGCGGAGTGCGCTTTTACTATCGATTCCTCACAGACTGAGTGCATTTGGTATCACTACGCCTGTGACAGGAGCCGCCGCTATAGAGGAAGCATCGGCTTATGCGGCTCTGCTCCCTCCGCTGCCGACTCGCTTGCTCTAGCGTTGGCACCACTGATTCTCTCCAGCGGCTCTTCAAGTTTTCCCTTAGGCCACCACCGGCCCTGGGAATGGTCACAACTAGGTCTTATTTTTCGGGGTAGGTCTTATATTTTAGCAATTCCCAAAAATAGTACTAGGTCTTATTTTCGGGGAAACAGGGTAGTTCCGCTGAAATGTGCAGAGACAAAAATCACTAAGCCAGTTTTAATAAAGATTGTGAAAACCCAACACGTTTCAGTGCCTGCCAAATCGGAACCATTGCTCTCCGTCTGGTAGCAGTGGTCTCACGGCAGAGGTCCAACAAGCCCCCTTTTTGAGTCAGAACTGTAGCTCTGCAATCAGTAAAGCTCATGCGATCGTCTGACTGGAGGGTTCTGGCTCTCATTCAGCAAGGGATGTGTCAGACCTCTGCAGAGACACCTCCTGCTTCCTCAGGGAGAGCAAGGGCTCCTTTTCTACAGGGGACAGGCTTTTCTATTCAGCCCGTGGCTTATTTTAAAGAAAATGTAATGGTAAGACTTTACACACTTGTTGTCTGTAACTCCTGGAATGTATTTACCTAATTTTAAATGGAAAGTTCAATGGGATTTCATAGGACAACTTACTTTTATTGAAGTTGTTCTTTACATTCCCCTTACCTAATTGCAGCCTACCTGGTGAGATCCATACCTTCCTCCATGTTCCCTGATTTTTAGCCCATTCCCGTCGAGATCATGCACATGCATGCCCCGGGCCCCATTCATTCATATGGGTGAGCTGTACTCATGACAGCCTCCAGCCGTCAAGCAGACTACAGCTCATCCATAGGAATGAATGGGGCCGCAGGGTGCACATGGGCGCAGTAGAAGCAGGGCCCGGATGGGACGTTTTCCTTGAGCAGTGCTGCACAGCGGAGAAGCTGAGCGGAAGTCATTTCTACATACACAGCTTTGCGGGAGATGAATTTGGGTTTCTTACCTGCAGGTAGGGATCGGATGGATCAGGACAAATATTTTCAGGCTGAGGTTTGGTTACCAAGATGACGCACGCCGCCAAACATGACGCACACAACACTTTCCACAAGTGAAACCTCCTCATCTTCCAGATTTACTCTCTGCTGCTGCTCTTATCTAAAAGGAAAAAAACAGAACTTTGAATATGTAAAACTAAAAAACCATACAAAATTAAACCTATGGCCTAATAATCTCTGCTCATCAACACAATACAATGTAGTGAAATGCAATGGTTCCCATAGACCTGGAAGCCAGGAGGGTGGTCCAGGCTTCCTGCTTCATCACTGCACCCCTACTGGAAGTGGTAAGGGACAGTTAGAGATGGGAATTCGGGATGCCCCAGGTCTGGGTACCTTTGTGATAGATAGATAGATAGATAGATAGATAGATAGATAGATAGATAGATAGATAGATACACACATACACTCACTGGCCACTATATTAGGTACACCTTGCTAGTACCGGGTTGGACCCCTTTTGTCTTCAGAACTGCTTTAATTCTTCGTGGCATAGATTCAACAAGGTGAAGGAAACATTCCTTATAGAGTTTGGTCCATACTGACATGATGGCATCACACAGTTGCTGCAGATTTGTCGGCTGCACATCCATGATGCGAAGCTCCACCAGCCTGAACCGTTGATAAGTCAGGATGGATCCATGCTTTCATGTTGTTTACATCAAATTCTGACCCGACCATCCATGTCGCAGCAGAAATCGAGACTCATCAAACCAGGCAAAGTTTTGCCAATCTTCTATTGTCCAATTTTGGTGAGCCCTTGCAAACTGTAGACTCAGTTTCCTGTTCTTAGCTGACCGGAGTGGCACCCGGTGTTGTCGTCTGTGGCTGTAGCCCACCTACTTCAAGGTGCGATGTGCTCAGGGCTGGATTTCCCACAAGGCCAACTGAGGCCCGGCCTTGGGGCAGCAGGGAGTAGAGGGGCAGCAGGGAGTAGAGGGGCAGCAGCGGTGTGGAATTCCTATTTGCCGACGCCTGGGACATGCAGTTCCGGGCGCTGGGCGGGTAGTTGTTTTCTACATAGCCCGGCTTTGGGCAAGCAGAGCTAAATGTACAGCGGGGGAAGCCGCCTCTTGTTTTGTACAAGTGATCTCGACGATGTCGCCAAGATCACTTGTATGCAGCCGGCATACAGGGAGGCGCATTGAGGAACCTGGCATTGGGGCAGCAGAGGGTAAATCCGGCCCTGTATGTGTTGTGTGTTCAGAGATGGTATTCTGCATACCTCGGATGTAACGAGTGCTTGTTGGAGTTACTGTTGCCTTTCTATCAGCTTGAACCAGTCTGCCCACTCTCCTCTGACCTCAACAAGCTATTCTTGCCCAGAGAACTGCCGCTCACTATATATTTTTTATTTTTCGGACCATTCTCTGTAAACCCGATCGATGGTTGTACATGAAAATCCCAGTAGATCAGGGGTTGCTAAAAATACTCTGAACCCGACATGGGTGTTGGTGCCAGACGGGCTGGTCTAAGTCCCTTAAATCACCTTTCTTCCCCATTCTGATGCTCGGTTTCAACTTCCGCAAGTCGCCTAAATGTATTGAGTTACTGACATGTGATTTGGCTGATTAGATATTTGTGTTGAAGAGGTGTACCTAATAAAGCGGCCAGTGAGTGTATATTGTGTGTGTGTGTGTGTGTGTGTGTGTGTGTGTGTGTGTGT